AAAGTGGGTGGCTTTAAAGAATAGAAATTTATTGTCTCACAGTTTTGGAGGCTAGAAATCCAAATTCAGGGTGTCGGCAGGCTATGTTCTGTCAGCTCGAGGAGAAGATTCTCCTTGTCCATTTTCACTTCTGTTAACCTCAGGTGTTTCTTGGTGTTCCTTGGCTTGCAGAAGGATACTCCCATGCTGACTTCATCCTGCTGCAACTCCCTATTTCCGTATCTGTTCTCCCCTTTTATACACATCACTCAGAAGGGATTAGGAATAGGACACACCTAACTGTATTATGACTGAATTGACAATATCTTCAAAGAAAGACCTTATTTCCCCAAAATGGTTACACTCACAGCTACAAGGGTTAAAACTTCAACATATCTTTTGGGGGGACACAATTCAATCTATAACACCAAGCAACTAGCATCTCTTGACTGGACCAGTATAATCCCCCTGCCTTGGCTGGGGCCAACCCCTTCTCCACCCTGTGGTCCAAAAGTCTTTTTAAAAGTACTCATCTTATCATGCTGTTGCTTGCTTAAACCTTTCAACGGTCTCTCATTGCTCTTGAATAAACATCAAACTTCACAGGCACGCACCAAACCAAACCTATTGCTATCGAATCAATTCTGACTCATGGCGACCCCATGTGTTACACAGCAGAACTGTTCCATAGGGTTTTTTTTTTTTTTTTACTGTAATCTTTATAGAAGCAGATCACCAGGCTTTTCCTCCATGGTGCCACAGAGTGGGTTTGAACCACCAACCTTTCAGTAGATAGATGAGTGAAAACCATCTTCACCATCCAGGGACGTTTTCAAGGCATATGCATTCCCCTTCAAAGTGTGTGAAGAGTGGTCCACAGGCTGAACCCAACCCATAGATGGTAGTTTTTTGTTTTTGTTTTTTTTATCTCAACTACTTTCCAATGTTTAAAAACCAGGAATATGGCATAAAAATGTAGATTTCTAACTTCTCTTGAAATTCAGAAAATCTGTCACCTTGAGCCCAGTTTCTGTCATGGAAAATAGCAGCACCTGCCCTCATTGGATAGGGCATGTCCCCCCAGCTGCCACAGTCCCCACCACGCCCCCTAGCCTTGCCCAACCCTTCATGAGTGTGGCCCTCCTGCCTGGCACGATCTGGCCCCTGCCTACCTTTGTGCCACATCTCCATCTTCTTCCCACTCACACTGCTCCAGTCCCCTGGTCTTTCTGCCCCTGAACAAATGTCAGGGACTTCACATACACAGTTTCCTCTGCCTGGCACACCCTCCCTACCTTCTGCCTATCCCTCTCCCACCAGTCCTGGCCTGGATCAATGCTACTCAAGGCATGGATTTAAATGTCACTCCCACAGGGAAACTGCCCCTGATCCCCTACTCTAGGCTGGCACTCCACCTTTTGTCCACATCACACTGATAATCATTGGTTGTCTTCCCTGTGAGCACCACAAGAGCAGGACTAAGTCTGTGTTTTCCGCTGCTCAATCACCAACAACAAGTCCAGCACCTAACACATGTTGTTATTGGCTGCCATTGAGTCGATTCTGCCCCATGGTGACCGTATGTGTGTGGAGTAGAACTGCTCCATAGGGTTTTCAAGGCTCTGAACTTTTGGAAGCAGATCTCCAGGCCTATCTTCTAAGGCACCTCAGAGTGGGTTTGAACCATTAACCTTTCGACTAGTAGCTGAACGGTTAACAGTTTGCACCACGCAAGGACCTCCTGGCACATAGCAGGAGCTTTTTAAGTATTTGTTGAATGATTGAGTAAACTTGTACCTCTGGGCTTACTCTACATACACATCAGTAAGATGCCATTTGCTGGAAGGGTCAGGTACAAAAACAAATGAAAATAATACCATAGGGGAGGCCTGTGTGCAAGGTGCTCTGAGGACACTTACAGCATAGTCCATTTGCCGGCGATGTTTTCCCAGAGGAACTCACACTAGAGCGCGGCTTGGGGATTTGGAACTTGCGACCATGCTTGCTATTGAGGAGGATGCTGGCTCAGAGAGGAGGCTTGACTTGCCCAAGGTCACATAGTTCATCTAGCCTGTGAGCATCGTAAAGGTACAGACTGTACTTGACATGCTCAAAGTCGTAGCTCCAGCACCCAAATAAAAAAACAAAAACAAACAAACAAAAGAAATCCACTGCTGTCGAGTCAATTCCAACACACAGTGACCCTATAGGACAGAATAAAACTGCCCCATAAGGTTTCCAAGGAGCAACTGGTGATTCGAACCGTCGACCTTCTGATTAGCAGCCATAGCTCTTAAACACTGCACCATCAGGACTCCAGCACTGAACTAGCGTTCAACAAATGTGTGGAATGAATGAAGGAAAAGAAAAGATAGAGGTTCAAGGTAGACCTGGGGGACTCATGTAGCAGAAAGAACTCGATATTGATGCACAAAAGAGAGTCTGAAGATGGAGGAGGAATTTGGAAATTATCCTGAAAAAAAAAAAGCTTAGTCTCAATCAAGGCAGGTATCTATTTGTTTTGTTATTCCTGGAGGACTACAGTACTGTTCGCTGACTTTAAAATATATTTTTATGTCCAAGGAGCTGAGGCTGTAATTGCTATATTGTTTTTGTCACACACAGTGTTTATTTTTAGAGCTTTTGAATATCTCAAAAAGCAAAAACACAAAAAAGTCTCCTTAATGTGAGAACTCACGTTGGTAAGGAGACTCTTTTCAATATGCTTGTATTAATTATAGAAATCATCACGTGTATGACAACTGCAAATGTAAAAGTGTGAGTTGTTTGTGTTTTTGCAAAGGAGAAAAACAAAACTGTAGCCATCATAACCCAATAATAAAGGATTAGAAGCAGGTACCTCTGCGGAGACCTAAAACGGCTGAAATACTAAAATGGTACACACCACCCCATCTCCCATTATCCTATCATCAGGGGGCCACCATGCTGGATTTCTTCATGAGTAAACCCTTCCATGGAACAAGAAAGGAGCTAGTGTCTAGGCTATGTAAAGCTCAGCCATTTGGGACAGAAAAGGAGCCCTGTGTGCAGAATCAGACCCTCCTTGCAGAAGCCCCTAAATTCACAGCAAAACATGCATGCCTGTTCTTGTTTATATAAAACATTCATCACATCTGGGTTTGAAAACACACAGACCCAGGTTCTGGTTTCAGCTTCAATATTTTTTACTCGTTCTGAAACTTGCCTCTCTCAGCTTCAGTTTCCATGGCTTTGGAGACAAGCTACTCACAAAGTAGCTGTGAGGATTTAGATGCCATAATAAGTATTTTGATTGGATAACCAGGGAGCAAGTCCTGTGGACTTGAACCCACCACCTCTTCTCTATCTCCACAACCACTTCACAAACACACTTTTTAATAGCTCTTATTAGACTCAATGTACACAGTAGGAAACTGAGGCTCAGAGAGGTAAAGTAACTTGCCCAAGGCCACTGTAATGTAGCATAAAAAAATTGTTTAAATTCACGAGGAATAAGAATCAGGATCAGCACAAAGCTGGTTCCTATGAGACAGAGGTTAGACATACCTCCACTCTCCAACTTCTTCACCATTTCTGACACTAGCTGTTCCCTCCATGGCACTCTCTACCTCTCTGCTGGGTTCAATAATTCATTGCAATGGCCACACAGAAGTCACAGACCATACTCACGATTATGTGGTTTGTTAAGAAAGTAACAGGCTACAATTTAGGATCAAGATTAACTTGGAAATAACAGGAACAACTTGGGATCAGGATCAGGATCAGGAAGCACACAGGCAAGGTCTGGAAAGAGCCCCAAAGTGGAAAGCACATCCCTCCCCTCTTCAGTACAGGACAGCTTCTGACCAGGACAGCTCTCTCAGCTGCTCTCCACTGTTGGTCCTCTGTATTGTTGGTTTCTCTGCCATAGGCCTCTCTGTGCCGGCCTCTCCACCACTAACCGGCCCAGCTTATAGCTGGCATAGCTGCTCACTCAGGTCTCTTAGCTGCTGCTCTCCTAGCAACAGCTGTCCTCCATCAGGCCTCTCTGCCATTGAACCTCTCTGCCATCAGGCCTCTTAGCCATTGGTCGCTCTGCCATCAGGCCTGTCTGCTGCTGACTGGCTCAGCTCAAAGCCAGTGTAGCTGCTTGCTCAGTTCTGTCTGCTGTTTTCCACCGTCAGGCCTCTCTGCCATTAGCCTTTCTACTGCTAACTGGCACAGCTCACAGCGCAGCTTCGCAACCACTCAGCCTCCATGTGGCTGTGCTTCTCTACCAGCCCAACTCTTTGTCAGCATCTCTCTCAACCAGAAAGCCTAGAAGACCTCTGCGTTTCAGCCATTTATAAAGCCTGATCCTCATCAGTTACAAGGCAGGGCCTCCATTACCAGATCTGAGTTCAACCAATCCTCAATTACCAATGAGATGTCAATCAACCCAGGTCTTGTTACTTACCAGAAAAAGGTATCAAACCATCAAGTTGTTTACAGTTTACCCAGGAAATGTCAATCAACCCAGGGAATCCCCTGGGTAAAAGTAATAAACCCTCTGAAGTAGAAAACAACCTGGGAGTCTGGGAGTGCACAGACCCCTGCTCACCCGCCCCGCCCCAAATTGCTTCTCCAAAGAACTAAGGCAAAAGTAGCAACTCCTCAGGGCTGAAGGGAAAAAAAGATCTCCCCATCTATTCTTCCAAAGAACTAAGCCAAAAAACCACATAAAGGAACTTACTGGACTACTGACACACAGCTAATAAATGCTTGAACTGGAATTCAAATTCAGATATGCCTGTTTCCGAAACAGAAGATAGTGCAGTTACATATTTACTTAGGAAAGAAAAATTCAAGCGTAAGGTAGATCTAAGCATCTTGAAAAGATGCCCAAAAGGGAGCACACCAAAAATGTTTCTCCAACAATAAGTCAAAGGTTTGAATGCCCAGGAATACTCAGACGTAGGATAAGCTGTTGGAGGAAGGCCTCACTCCTTAAGTGGTGGCCGTGAGAGGAGGACGGATGTGGTTGGCCCAGGAGCCACACTTACCTTTCCCAGCAGCTCAGGCAGGCCCAGCAACTGCCCAGTGAACACGCCAATGCAGATGAAGATGGCAGTCACCTGCCCCACAGAGCCACGGATCCCCTTGGGTGAGATCTCGTTCAGGTACATGGGAAGCACACTGAGGGCGATGCCTGTGGAGGAAGTATGGTAATGGTGAGAAATCTGTATTCCCAGAGGAGTGCTCTGGGTCAGAGACAGAGCTGTCTTCCCCAGGAGGCACTCTGGTAGTGTGAGATCTGTCTTCCCTAAGGGAGGAGAACTCTGGTCATGGCACTTCCCTTAGCTCTGCTTTGCCTTTGAGAATAATAACACTGTAGCCACAACACCATTCCTGATACTCTGCACAAACTGCCAACACTATAAAATGCTTTTATCATTTAATGTATAAAGTATGGTTGGGAGGTGGAATTCTTAGGAAAGGATATACCTGATGATGGTAATGGTGATGGTGACAGTGGCAGTGGTGGTAGTGATGGTGATGACCGTGGTGGTGGTAGTGATGGTGATGGTGGTGTTACTGATGATGGTGAATGTGTTGGTGGTGGTGGTGTTAATGATGGTGGTAATGGTGGTGATGGTGGTGGCAGTGTTACTGATGGTGGTGAATGTGTTGTTGTTGATGGTGTTAATGATGGTGGTGATGGTGGTAGTAGTGACAATGATGGTGATACGGGTGATGATGAGAATAGCTAAGACATGCAGTGCTTAGCAAGTACCAAGATCTTCCTCTTCACTTTACATATATTAACTTACTTATTTTCACAATGACCCTTTCAAGTAAATGTACTATTAATATTATTATACCCATTATAAATATGAAGAAACTGAGGCACAGAGAAGTTGATTAAGTGCCCAAGTCACCAAGTGATGCCTGGAGATGCCCAAAGAGGTTGTTTTGTCCAAAAGAACCCCAATAGATCTTCCAATTCTAGGATCTGAGCTTTTCCCATCAGCTAATGTTTTTCCTCTTTACATAAATCATGGACTCAGCTCTGGCAGATACCGTTACGCCCTTTTTACAGATGAGGTCATTCACATATGACCTCATAACCTTTGGGATGAATTTACATCGTCAGAGACTTTTAACAGATTTTTAGGATTAAAAAAAAGTAATAGTTAAAAAAATGCTTTGCAAAGCACAATACACTGCACACACAGAGGGCCTGTTAGTAAAAATAATATGACACCTTGCCTGTTTCAAGAAACCTTTTTCACCTATACCTGGGCAGGGTTATTCATAAGGCCCTTTATAAATCTATAAATGTCTATTCTATGCACTTGCCCCAGGCGGATGCATCACTTGGTTAGAGCACAGACGGCATGCTTTGGATCAAACTGCCTCCCGGGCTGAATCCCTACAGCTTACCAGCTGTGAGACATTGTGCTTCTTTCGGTCTCAGATTCTCTACCCACAAGATGGGGATAAAAATTGAGCCTAACTTTATGGGATCCCTGTAAGAGTTAACTAACATGTGCTCATCACATATGGTAAAAATTAAACAAATTACCATTATTAGCAATTACTATCATTGTCCAATTTTCACCAGACTGTGAGGGCATAAAAATTTTATTTCCATATATATATATACACATACACTTATGTTCCACTGCTATTCATAAGGTTTTCCCTGGTTAATTCTTTTCAGGAGTAGACTGCCGGGTCCCTCTTCCTAGTCTATCTTAGTCTTGAAGCTCAGCTGAAACCTGTCTGCAATGGGTGACCCTGCTCGTATTTGAATACCAGTGGCATAGCTCCCAGCATCACAGCAACACACAAGCCCCCACAGTACAAAAAACTGACAGAGATGCATGAGATATTTCAACAAATGGGTGCAGCGCTTATATATATAATTTCTTGCCCCATTCTCCCCAATGCCTCTCACACATTTCCTGACACACATTAGGTACCAATCAATGTGTGTCAAGTTGAGGTGAATTCTCCCCAATTGCTGTATTCAGGGAAGTCCTTCCCCAAATAAACTAGTACAGGGAATACACAGCCCAATTTATAAACTGAGAATCTCATTCATTGCATCTCAGCCCCGGGGAAAATTTTTTGGTTCATTCCTCAAGACAAACATGCTTGAGAAGAAAACAAGGAAATTATCTGGAAAGTAACATAAACCAGATGATATTTGAATTTTCATCCAAAACACATATTTGAGAGCATCTGGCCTCATGAAAAAATTGGCTGGCCCCCAATAATTTAGCACATTGTTGCTTAAAAGGCAGAACAATAGACAGAAAAGTGAACTGCAGTGGGAGTTAAGTCCCAGATCCATAGTCGCCTCCTGAGGTGATCTTGATCAAGCTACTAATTTCTCTTAGCCTCAGTTTACACATCTGCAATAACTACTACCTATTCACGTCACTTTGATGACTAAGTTGTGCCTGACCCAAGCCATGGTCTTTTCAGTCACCTCATATGCATGCAAAAGTTGGACAATGAAAAAGGAAGACAGAAGAGTTGATGCATTTGAACTGTTGGTGTTGGTGAAGAATATTGAGTACACCATAGACTGCCAGATGAATGAGCAAATCAGTCTCAGAAGAAATACAACTGGAATGCTCCTTAGAAGTGAGGATGGCGAGACTTTGTCTTGCTTAATTTGGACATATCATCAAGAAAGACGAATCACTGAAAAACGACATCATGTTTTGTAAAGCAGAGGATCAGTGAAAACTAGTGAGACCCTCAGTGAGATGGATTGACACAATAACCACAACAATGGGTTCAAACATACCAACGATCATGAAGATGGCACAGGACCAGGCAATGTTTCTTTCTGTTATACAAAAATAGTCGTGAGTCAGAGCCAACTCAATGGCAAATAACAGTCATGCTGTGATGGGAATTAAATTGCTAACTGTAAGGCACCCGGCTCACATGTGGTCCATGTTAGTGTCCTTACCCCAGGGGGATAAATGATCACCATCTCATAAAAAAACTAGCGAGGAACAAAGGATAAAACTGGCAGGAAAGAGGCAGCATGGGTAGGAGTAAAGAACACAGAGCTAACTACTCTAGCCTCATCTGAAAAGGGGGATAGTTGGGATAGTAATAAAAGCTCCCTTGTATGGGTGCTGTGCACATATTGAATACATGCAAAACACTTGGCAAAGTGCCTGGATCATATTAAGCTGTCAGTGAATGGTGGCTGTTCTTTCTTTCCAATTGTGAAATGACATAGAAAAGCCAGACGCTGGCAGCTAATCCAGAGGTGAAACAGGAGGAGGTCTCTTTGAAAGCCCACTGTAGGTGACCAACTCATCCTGATTTGCCTGGGACTATCCTGATTTTAGCACTGAACATCCTGTGTCCCAGGAAGCCCCTCCAACCTGGGAAAATCAAAAAGGCAGGGCATAGTAGGCCTGCAGTACTATACCACGAATCCCATACACCACAGCGACCTCTCCCAACCTCTGACCCCATCTCCTGCCACATTTCTCCTGACCCAGGTGCCCTGGCCTTGGGGTTAACAGAACACTCCAGGCTCATCTAATCTTAAGACAGTGGTCTTTGCTGTTCCATTGGTCTGGAAACTTCTGTCCTCAAAGCTCCACATGTTGACTCCCCCTCCTAATCTTCCTGTCTCACTCAATGTCACTTTCTGGTGTGGGTTGACTTGTGTCTCCCCAAAAAGGAGACTGAAGTACTTTGTGACCCCCTGTACCTGTGAATGTGAACTTATTTGGAAATAGCGTCTTTGTAGATGTGATCAAGTTCAGAGAGGTCATGCTAGATTAGAGTGAGCCCTGAATCCAATGACTGGTGTCATTATAAGAAGGCCAAATGAAGATACACGAACACGGAGGCAAACGGGGAGACTGCCACAAGATGATGGAGGCAGAGACTGGAGTGATGCAGCTGCAAGCCAGCAGCCACCAAAAGCTAGAAAGAGGCACGGAACAGATTCTTCCTCAGAGCCTCCAGAAGGAACCAACCTTGCCAACACTTTGATCTCAGACTTCCTGACCTCCAGAGCTGTGGGAGAATAAACTTCTGTTGTTTCAAGCCACCCAGTTTTGCGGTACTTTGTTACGCCAGCCTGAGGACACTCATGCACCCCTCGCTAATGTCTTCCCTGACCACCCTGTCTAGATGAGTCTCTCCCCCATCACTATCTCTTCATTCTGCTTCATGTTCTTCACAGCACTTATCACCGTTTGAAAGTATCTTGTTAGTTATTTTCTTGTATGTTGTCTGTTTCCTCACTTCTACCCTCAATGGAATTCCTCGAGAGGACAGTGCCAGACCCAGAGTAGGTGCTCAATTAACATTTGTTGAGTGGTTCCCCAAGGCACTATCACTACTGTTATTGATTTAATCTAGTGTTAGGGTTTGCATCGTGTCCCCCCAAAATATATGTTGGAATCCTAACCCCTATACCTACGGATGTGATTCTGTTTGGAAATAGGGTTTTCTTTGTTATCTTAATGAGGCCATATCAGTGTCAGGTGTGTCCTAAACCTGATCGCTCCTGAATTATAGAAAGAGCAGATGAGACTCTCACCCCATGCTTCCTCGCAATCGCTATCCTCTCCCTCCTCCCCAAGGCTAAACACCAGTCTGATTTATATCACCATAGACTAGTGTATGGGATCATATGACTGTAAAAATGGCGTAGGGGCAGTGTCTGACCTCTTCTCACGTCACAAGGGGGAAGAAGAATCAAGATCAACATTCCAAGGCTGATTCCTATGAGACAGAGGTCAGACAAGCCTGCTTTCTCCACCATCTTTACCAATTCTGATACCAACCATCCCTCCCACAGCACTCTCTACTTCTCTTCTGGGCTCGATAATTTGTTGCAATGGCCACACAGAACTCACAGACCATACTCATGATCATAGGGTTTATTAGGGAAGTAACAGGTTTACTATTCAGGCTCAGGAACACTCAAAGAGTACAGGACAGCCTCTTCTCAGTCGTGCTTGCAGGCACGCCTCTCCCTGGCCCTAGGCCTCTGCCCAAAGGCACTCAGCTTTCTCTGTCTGTGGGCCAGAAAGCCTACCCGCCATCTCCTGCTGCCTCCGGGTCTCTCCTGACACTGCTTCTCACCATCTTTAGGGTTACGGTGCTCTCTCTCTCTTTCAATCTGTCTCTCTCTCAGTCTTCTGCTTCCAGGAG